CGCAAAAGAACCTGACTCTGAACGCAAAAACATGAAATTTCTTTCTTCTTGGATATTAACCATTAGATTGTATCTTCTTTGTATTCGACTTCACTGTACGCTTCCTACTCTCTTAAAAGCAGACCCCATCCTCCAAAAAATATTTCCAGTGTTGAATAATAGAAGTAATGCTCGTCCGTGTGATTCGCTTGACCATCAACTGTATATTCGGCCCTTTGATATTTTATAGTGCTTTACAGCCTTCAACACAGCTAGTACCGAATATTTCGAAAGAGTGGGTAGGTGTGTGTCCGTTGACATTAGCCTCAATTTGGTTGTGTACAATAGTATGTGATCCGGATGAATATTTTTGCCACAGATACGTTCAATCAAATTCACACACTCACACTGATACTTAACGAAAATCTGAAAAACTAAACCACGGCGACGATATCCACATTATTCCAAACAAAAAGAGGTTATATTCAGTTTGCTGACAGGCAATGAAACAATATAGATTGGCGACACTTTTGTAATAATGTGTCACACTCTTTAAAATTTCTGCTAAAAATCCGTTTGCATACAAACACATCAACAAACGATATTATTTACTAGAGCGTCTTCTAGAAAAATATGGCTTTACTTGAAAATTTTAGCTTAAAATTAGTCATATTAGGTCCGGTCTGTAAATGGACTACCATACTTGAAAGAAGCTCCTATTCACAAGTAACGCTGGTTGCTTCGACTCGCGTAGCCCTGGACTGAACAAGATATCATATTCAATTTTTCACACACCGTGTACCAATAGAAGTTCACAAAAATTATACGAAAACGCAGAGTACTTTTTCAAAATTCTACTAGAAATTTGTATACATTCTAGAACATTCGTTGAGAAGGCTGTTTCCTATAGAGTTGTCTAAGAAAGTAGAAGACAAAGGGGAAACGGTGGATTGCCGGAATTTCCTGAATTTCCATGGGATTTCCTGGATTTCCATGGGATTTCCTGGACTTCCATGGGATTTCCTGGATTTTCATGGGATTTCCGGGATTTCCGTGGGATTTCTAGAACATTTTTAATAATAATTTGCATTCCCGAAATTCATATTGGATCTCTAGGATCTTGATCATAGTTCCAAAAATTTCATAGGAGTCAGAGTCAGGGCTTCGTTGCTCTATAATACCGTTTAAAAAGCTGTATTAAGCTATTGGAGTAAAATATTGCTTATCTTGAAAGTTTTAGACATTTAACTTTATAAAATGACTATAAAGTCTATTTTTAAAATAGAGCTGGTTACTTTCATATTTTTCTCGCAAAATGCATCAGGCAGAATAATAAAGAGCAACGAGACATTAGACAAATCAATGAGTCATAGAAAAGATACACCATATCTAGTGAATCTACAGCATCTCATCTGTAGATGTTTATTCATTTAGTAATCTGATGACAGAATATGTCTGAGTCGATTAGACAGCAGCGTAATTGTACTTTCTGACATAAAACAAGAGGCTTTCTATATATGCCTATATTGTTTTTGACTTCAATTTCGACACAAGAAAAGAGAGTTTCAGAGTGAAAGAGAAAGGCTCTCCGAGACTCTTATGAGCTGAAGTTCAGATTTATCGCTAACTGAGAAAGAAGAGAAGTCATGAATTATATCCTATGATCAGCGATATTTGTTTGATTTCAATAAAAAAAGCAACATAAGAGTTTACAAATTAGTTTGAGTCTTGATTCAATAAATTGTAGTGGCTTTCGTCATATGAGACAACACGGTGTTTTGTCAAGTTAGACTTGCACAAGTGATTCATTTAGTGTTGTCACAGATTCTCTCATTTTCTTCTCAGCAAATTAAGGATCAAAGCCTGAAAGAAGGTACTAAACCATATCATAACTTTGATGAGTCGACTTTCTAAAGTTATCATACACGACACGATTACAACATAATTGGGACATTGACTGTTTGAATGTAGTCTTTTTCTCGTCCTTTATGACACTTTGTGAGCTTTAATGAAATGTTCAACTCACTGAAATCGGAAGGAAAACAAAACAGACGTTACACGTAGTGGATTGTCTGAACCTTTCTAGAACACTCGAAATTCTCGAGTTCCGAGTTTCTAGTCTTTGTATTACCTAGCTGTCTGGTTTCTTTCTCGAAGATTTTTTCAGGGACTTTAAGTTTTCCTTAAATTATAAAGATCGAATGATATTTTTCTTTCATCGCAATAAATTAGCGCGAGAAATACTAAATTCAGACAAATTTTATCGTAAGATACGAATATATTATTTACTTCCTGATTGGTATTCTCATGGGTTAAAAAAAAGTAGTAGCAGTAGTAGTAATTGATTCATTAGTCGTTGCTAATAATCATCATGAGGAATTGATCATTATTGTTCTGAATAGAGCGAAAATTAATGTGTCCACCTAAGCTTTTGACCATACAGTAAGCAGTCTATGTTTCGCATAAGCCATTGCAAAACGAGCAGCGTCGAATCTTGTTCAATCCTCCAACTGTTTCCAATTATGCCATTAAGGGTATTTTTTTCCTCTAATGCTCTCATTTACATATTAGAAATAATTTGTTGAGAGTAGAACAAGGCTTTGCGGATAAGATTATAGAAAACATGCTCTACACCTACGACCATAGTAGCACGAATGCATCCACCAGCACGAGACTGACCACATGACTTATTTTTTCAATCACGTTACAAAAAGAGCTCTGTTTCTGAATTCTTCTTCTATACTGAAAAATATTATATTGGATACGTGAATTCAAGCATTAGAAGTAACAAACGCTCTCAACGGCATGATCGAAACAGTTGGAGGAGTGAATAAAGTTCGATGCTATTCGTGTTGCTATGGTTTATATGAAACATAGAGTGCTCACTAAATAATCTAATAATTATGTCGCTGTATTAATGTTTCCTCCTTCCAGAATAATAATGATCAGCTCCACAGGATTTGAAATAGCAGTGACTTATGAATGAATTACTACTAATTCAAATTTTTTTGCTTTATAATTAGAATTACTGACTTCGCATCGTATTTTGCATGTAGTTAGGGTGTGGGTGTGGGTATGGGAGGGTGGGGGTGTGGGTGTGAGTGTGGGGTTTGGGTGTCCGTATGAATATACTAATAAAGGGAACACTCGCATTCACATCCACACCCATACCCACACTCACACTCACACCCACACTCACACCCACACCCACACCCACTCCCACTCCCACACCCACACCCACACTCCCACACTCCCACACCCACACCCAGAAATACAATAGTGAATTTTCGAATTTCTGGAAAAGAGAATTCGAGGCGTTGGTATTTTTACATATTATTCGGACTCAGACGAATATTTGTTCCTGATCGATGAAGTTAGCATTCACAAGTACCTTGCACACCTGTCTAGTCATTGTTTTGCTTTTACATGACCAAGTGCGCTGAAAGCTTTTGAAAAAGCGGGGGTCCGTACCGATGCCCACGATCCCCTAGTCGGCGCGCTCATGTTCATGACGTATGCAGCTGTATCTTTCCTTCGAAATCGAAATACATGATTGATCTAATCACATGAAATAAAAACACAAGCGCATACGACAGAGAAGGACAGGTAGAGATACAGAAGAAGATACCAGGGACATACAGTGACAGACAACAATGAAGAGAACGTGCGTGAGCGGTTACATGGGAAGAAAGTGTGCGTTCGAAATATTGTCACAATTGGCTATTGTCTCCTATTGATGCAGCCTTCCTGACATAACTAATCGTATTATCAAATTGAGAATTGATGTGACCCAATGATTCCTGTATCAGAAGATAGATGTATGTCTCTCCCGGTTAACTAAGCACCAGTGCTGTCAATCGAACCGATGTTCTTTTTCAATGGTTTCATGATGGGTTATTGGTTTGAGTTCGAGCAGGTCACGTCGTTTCAATATTGAACATGCATTCTCATATTTGCTACTATCAGAATTACAATATGATATCGGAATCTCGATGACCGTAGTAATTTGGGCAGATTATCGAAGATGCTGATGTAGAATCCAACCGCTGACACACTTGCCTGAGCATTTTTCTAATAATTTCAAAAAATGGGACCTCTAAAAGTGTTTTCTCAATTGTTTGAGATTTCAAAATCGAAAATCATTCTCTCGGATATCGAATCGAATCTTTGTAGAATATGACACAAATCGTTTTCAACGCTACTTTAGCAACAGATATCTCAGCTGGCGCTGCTGACTGAATTCTCGTTTCTTCGACCAACATTTATGTATTTTAAAATCGCCAGGCAGCAATCGCAACGTGGGTGTGAGTGTGGGTGGGTGTGGGTCTGGGTCTGGGTCTGGGTCTGGGTCTGGGTTGTGGGTGGGGGTGTGGATGGGGGGAGTGGGGATAGGGGTGGGGTGGGGATGACTCGATATGATAAATGACTCACACCCATACCCACATCCACACACCCACATCCACACTCCCACACCCATACCCACACACCCACACCCGAATCTATGGCGATCAAGGTTTACAAGCTAAATTGTTAGTGGATGGTTGTACAACAGTCCTATCAACACCACTGTATACTACTTCCACACTTATTCGACATTTACGTGATGTGCACAAACTTAATGAATTCAAACAGAAGGAGAAACTCGTCAATCGTTCAAATTATAAACGAATTCCGTTGCAGTTGAAGAAGAAATTGGATCAGGCTGTAATAACAGCTATTATTGAAGATGGAGGCAGTTTTGTTGATTTTTCCAGATCTGGTTTTGAAAAATTTATCTGTTTAGCTTTACCAGGTAATAATATTTGATTTGCATGAAAGAATTATTGTATACATTTATGTCTCGTTTAGGATACAAGCCTCCCCATCGAAATAAAATTAGTGCTCTGTCAAAACGATTTCATACAAAGCATTTTTATATTATGGTGAATTCATTATCTAAGTTATCATGCATCTCCATCAGTACGAATTTTTGGACCGACATCAAAGGTATATCGTTTTTAGTATTAACAGGTCATTATATCATGGACGAATTCGATTCAAAATCTACAATATTACGATTTTGTTCCTTTCAAAAAAGACATTTTTCGGATTTGATCGGTTTGGAAATCGAGAAGCTCTTAATTGAATTACAGGTGTCTGATAAAGTTACCAGTATCACGTGTGATGGTGCACCAAATATGATTAAAATGTTCGATTATTTATCTCGTTCTGATATAACACGTATTCGATGTCAAGCACACGTTTTGCATCTTGTTGTGTGCAATGGTCTTGGTCTCTGGATGGAGACAAAAAAAAAGAAAAACGTTACAACAAATGAAACAAACTTACTCGATTCTGAAATACGGCTTAGTCATTCTTTAAAGAAAATCAATATAATTGATGATGAACAATTAATTGTTGAAGTAAGTGATATTGAAAATGATCGTGAACTTACTGAACCAGATAATGAAAATGAAGATTCAGTAAGCATTGTTTTGCTTTGATAAAACAATTATTTGTTTGTCATTTGTTTATTTAAGAATGATGAAGAAGATAATAGTATTGCTGAAGGTGATAGTGGTGGTAATTCTTTAGATGAATATGAATCAATTTCAGAAAATAGTGAATGCGATAGTGAACATTCAGCTGAAGCCTTGAAGGATAATTTTGAAGTTGAAGTTGATATAAACTCCAATGATAGTTCTGATTCATCATCAACACAACTTGATACACATATTTCTTTAATTGTCGAAAGTGAGTATTGTTTTTTATTATGTTCTATGAATCGATATTTTTATCGACTTCTTTTTTTTGAGAACCCAATGTATATTATTGATTCCTTTTTATATCTTTTTATCTAGAGAGTCGGCAGCTTATTGGTCTGATAAAAGATTCTTCAATTTTATCATCATTTATAAATAGAAAAGCTAATGAATATAATCAATACAGTAATAGTAAAATTAAACGTTCGTTAATATTGGATGTAGGTACTCGTTGGAATTCAAGTTATAAAATGTTGTACACATTGAATTTGTATCGGCCAATAATCATTGAATTATTTCAAAATAAAACAAATTTGGATATAACAAAAAAAAACAACAACATTTAACTTCATTGGAATTTACAAGTGATTGTTGGTATACAATGAATTATTAATTAAAATATTAAAGCCGTTTTATAGAGCTACTAGAGCCATTAGTGGTAGTGATTATCCGATGATAGGCATTACATTTTATATTTTTCATCGTCTTGAAAAAGATTTCTTATCAAAAATTATTCCAACAGATGATCCATTATTTAATAATATGAAAAAAAGTTTATTAAGTAAAATGATTTATTATACTATGGTGCAAGATCCATTGCAAACAAAAACAATTATGGTGAGCAGCTTGCAATGTTATTGATGCATTTTTAATGACATAAGTAAACTATTCTTTTTGTTCTAGTTCTATGGGTACTTTGATCCATATGCTATATCAGTTATGACAAATACTGAAATTAATACACTAGAAAATGAAATAAAATATATAATTCGTCATAAAACATCAAATAGTTCAACACAAGCATCATCAACAACATCTTCAAATACAACTGGATTATCAAGAACAGAAAAAAATTTTAAAAAATCGTTACTCAATTATTTTGTTGATTCATTAGCTGATGAAGATAGTCAACAGGTCAAAAAACAATCTTCAACATTAAAAAATTATTAAGTGATGAATTTAAAACATACAAGAAATTAGCTGGCGATTATGTATCAACATCACCTGATTCATATAATCCTGTCCAATTTTGGAAGGAAAACAAATCATTGTTACCTAATTTGACACCACTTGCACAAAAATATTTAGCTTCTCCTAGTACAAGTACAAAATCTGAATCAGCATTTAGCATATCTGCTTATTATGGACGTAAACAACGAGCTCGACTTTCTTCAGTAAATCTTGGCGGTTAACCTGAATTTGGTCGAAACGTTAAAATGTCGAAAAGGAAAACGCCGAAAAAAAGACGAAAAAATGTCGAAAATAAAAATGTCGAATACAAGTAAAATCGAAAAAAAATGTCGAAGTATCAAAATGCCGAAAAATTATAATGTCGAAATATGAAAATTTCGAAATACGAAAATGTCGAAAAAAGTATAGGAACATAGTAGAGGACACTTTATTGTTCTACTGTTAGAATAAAGAATTTATTAAGAATTAAAAATAGAGCAGTTATGAAAAAAAAATATAACGAAGACAGAATTACTCAAATAGTGAATAAATGTGCAACTGAAAAATATTGTTTTATTTTTGAATCATTCTACATCAATATGAAACTTCTGTAATTTCATATTATAAAAACGTTTGCTTTTGACAGTTCTATTTGGACAGTCTGGTTCTCGACATCTTTAATTTTCGATGTTTTTCGCTTTGGACATTTTTATCTTTCGATGTTTTTCCTTTTCGACATTTTTATCTTTCGATTTTTTCACTGTTCGACATTTTTATTTTCGACTTTATTTCTTTCGGCATTTTTATTTTCGCCCTTATTACGTTCGACATTCTTATTTTCGAAATTTTAGCATCGACATTTTCATTTTCGACATTATTCAGGTGATTCATCTTGGCTTTTCAGTTTTTCTCAAAGATAAACTATCAAATGAAAATAAATAGGAATTGTATTAATATTTGATGTATTAAAAAAGTTTTTGTTTTTTGTTTTTTGAAGGATTTTTTTTTGTTATCTTTTTCATATTGAAGATTTTGAAAATAATATTTTTCTTGCATATCAAAAATAAATAAAATTTAAAAAGTTGGCTACTACGTCATAAAGAACAAGTAATCTATCTCTTGAAATGATTTAAGCTTTATTAGTGCTCTACTCTTATGTGCAAGTGTGAACGTAAGATGTTTCTACATGAATATCTGATCTGCAATACGAAGAATTGATCATTATAGTTAATTCTCGTTATAAATTTTCACATAATTTGTTTACGTAAACAATTTTCTCAAAGATAGTTTATATACATAAGTTACACAGCATACAATTTTATTTCATTAACGTCCCTTGAAAATCTTATACATTATATCGAAAATCAAGAATAGTTAGATTTACAGATTTAATTCCTAGAATGTTTGCTGCTTTCTACGTTAAACCATGATGCTTTTCAATCTATGAATTTGTTTATCTTATTCATAGTAGCTAACATGCTACTCTGTTCATTCATTAAATATATCGATCGAAAGACAAGAATCTTTTTACTGCATGATATAATTTCGAAGCACATGGCATTAGTCAACCAAAAAAGTTTTTTTTTCACAAACCTTTCAGAGAGATATAATGTCATCCATTATGTTTTGGATAGTACAGCATTATTTCTATATCATAGGCAATGACTTTATGTACAAAAATCGTACGCGGTTTCGTTGAATTTTTACACGTAGTTTTTTATGATATGCAGATAATCAAGAATAATTTAATCTTGATTAAAAACCTCTATTGTTTCTTTTCTTCACATGTAAGTAGATTGCCTGGAGAAGAATTCGGATGCAAAAGCTTGCTCTTTATGATGTATTATTAATAGCTTCACCTTTTAATGTAGAAACCCTAACCCTAACCCTAACCCCGAACCCCGAACCGTTCGGTCCGAACTTGGAACTCGAGTTCGGGTTCGTTGCAGGCCTAATGATAACAATAAACTAATTTCTGATGTACGAAAAACTTTACTTGAAAAGTGGCAGAGTTAACGACATCATATAGTCTTGAACTTCGGTTTCGATCTCAATAAAGTTTTATTTACTGATTCTACACATGTCTATTCAGGGTCTCTGATGAATTTCCAAAGTGTCTGTCGTAGTCTGTGGAGGGCGAAGCGGAGTGGACCCAAACTCTACACTTTATACTTCAAGACTCATTTTGGATCGTATTTCACAAAAAGGATTGGACTAATGAATACATATACGTATCTTATTCTAATCTAAAACTAATCAGTAACAACCATATACATCTCTTCTTGCAATATAATCCTTTTATTCTATTTTTTAGTTCGCAATTTGTCTTGAAATGCCTCTATTTGGTTTTTCGTATACAATCGTCATTATTCATCATAGAAGAATATTCAATGATGTTATTTCATTGAGTGTATATATGTAAATCAATGCATTGAAAATTATATATTGTTCAACTATTTTATTGATCGATGGTTACTAACAACAGGTCAATAGAAATATATTAGTATAGCTCTATCATTTACTTACTGTGATAGGTGAAAAACAATATGTGTATCTTTACATGTAGCAATATCACGAAAAATATTCAACTCAACGAAAATACTCAAAATCAAATAATAAGGGTGTGAGTGCGAGTGAAGAGAACACCCACATTCTATGATGGTTGAACAGACGAAACGAAGAATCAGATAGTGTTTGTCACATACTATGGCATCTCTCGTATATGTAATCATTTAGAGCAAAGAAGCTATGTATTAAAGATGTAGCTGAAAAATACAATTAGGATTTCCCAGTATAGCGATGTTAAATGAGTAGTTCTAAATGTAAATATTGCTGAAATGATAAAATTTTAGAGAACGCATATCAGTTATAACAGTTGTTATAATTTTATTTTATTCGGTTATTTGGTATTTTTTAAGTAAATTGGAGTAGGTGTCCAGTGTGAGACTTCTCGTCGCCCACACCTTTCATTCCACACTCAGATTCAGACCCACATACGCCTTGAATTCAAAGTTGAAAATATAGCCTATTCTTTCATTCTTCAATAATATTGGACTTTTTCATGGAGAATCTCGTTAGAAAATCATGGAAACAAACAGCATCTCTGTTGAACCTGATAAGTTAGAAGATGATCAAATAGGAAGATAGTGGACCATTACCTAGAGTGTGTTCGGATAAAGAAATTTTATTAAGATTCTTGCTTCTTCTGCCCTTGTTCGTTGTGCATTGTGAGCCTTGTCAGATGCTTTCGGAAAATACGAAGATGAGTGGTGTGTATGTGCAAAATCTTATTTTTATCTTTTCTTTTCAACGTGTGTGCACGAAAGCGGCCGTGAATGTAAAATTGAAGAATGAAAGAGAAAGACAATTCACTGGTAATTATTTTACATTGACTTATCTCGATAGTGAAGCGAAGAAAGAGCCTCTTTCTTTTACGATTGAAGAAAAGAAGAAGGTGCAGAGATGTCATTCTTCAAATATTTGCGTACTGGGAGAAGAGAATAATAAGAGAATAGCTGACTGCCTGTATATTGTATTACACTTTTTTTTTCATCATTCAATACATGTCGGTGGGAATATTAGCCATGGACGATTTTGATCAGATCCTCTTTCCTCGCTCAATATCAGGCGGAATGATTCTGTCGAAATTCAAGGAAACTATTCGTATGTGATACCCGATATGATCAAATGCATTCTAGTCTCCTCCATACGCTTCATAGACATACATGAGGTAACGAAATTGTCTCTATTGTCGGCTAACTATTACAAGAGCTTAGATCGAAGTTAGAAAATCGGAAGCAGAGTTCCACATTTGTATAATCTATGATCCAAATAGGAATTCACATTTAACATACTATATCACTCCAGCGACTTGTGTTCACCACCCCGTGTTATTTTTTTCTGAAGCCTGAAAGAATAAATAATATTTTCAGCTAAAGCCGAAAGTGATACTGAAAAATGATAAATTGTCAGTGATTCTCTTTTGAATCAGAGCTCTGAATACTCTTTTTGAAATTTGATGGGAAATCTGGTAAGAAACGGTTAGCGTAAAGTAATAAAACGATCTAGCTAAAATGGCAACAAGGTGAACGATAGTTTTGTTCTCTGCATTAGTTATAATGAGAAGCATGAGCTCAGAGTTGTCACGAAGTGGCTTGGATTTGGAGGAGAGGGCGTGGGAAAACATAACTAAAATCGTGCAGAACGAAGAAAAATTCTCAGATCTGCGCTAAAAAAACGTATACTCTTCAGGATTGGAGAGAGGGTTTTACCTGTTCCCTCAGTTTAGGCCGCTCTGCGCTTGACAGGACACTAGGCAACAATCAAAATTATTGTTCAGGTGTCTGACTAAGTACTTGTCAAGAAAAATTATTCGGAAGAAAATAACAGGACTATTTTACATTACTTGAATCTAGTACATCGACAATGAATTGAATTCAATAAGATGTACCAGGGAAGAGTCATCATTAGTCACTTTTGATTTTTGTTTCATGCCACTTAGAATGTTTGTAGATTGATTTGTATTGAAAATGAAGCATCCCACAAGTAATTTAACAGAGAAACCCCGTAATATTCACCAACAAAAAAAGATAGCCTTTGTTGTACTCTTGGGAGCGGCATTTATTATGTTGGGCGCGTCCATTGGCTTATGGATTAGTTGGAAAAATGGGCAAAAAGATTGCTATGATTCGTTTATGGCTCATGGTCTGGTACAATTTATCAGTGGAATTATTACAACAATTATCGGATTTATATGTCTGATTTTTTCGTTAATCGTCGGCATATGTTGGGTATGCCAAAGATGAGCAGTTGGATTACGTAATGTATAAAAGATAGGCGTTGATAAGGCGCAAATACGATGTGGATGTCGGCCTGAGTGAAAAGAAGATTCAGAGAGATAATCACGCATTCACACAACGATCGATACCTATAATGACAATCCACACTCTACACTGGCCGCCATATCCATATACTCACAGCATCACCAACATTTCCTCTGTTTCGATGTACTTCAGAAGAACGTTGAAGCATAATATTCTGTACATGTTTTTCTTATAATTTCGTAAAATTGATTAACCCTTTGAGCACTGAATTTTTTTTCAATTGAAAAATGGTTCTTCAATCAACCTGTTATATTTGGCTCAAAATGATCAGATAAAAACCTCATAACAATGTATCGAGAAAAGAGAGGGTGAAATCATGCGTTATTATATAGTAGGAGAAAGAAAGGAAGACATCTGAG